GACAGTGAAGGAAAGAAAACTCATTGAATGGCTTGGCGCCTGGGTCTCAAGTGGCTAAGGCACCAGCCATATACACCTAAGGTGGTGGGCTTGAAAGGCAGGAGACTCGCTTGAGCCCAGGAGTTGGAGGTTGCTGTGAGCTGTGATGTCACAGCACTCTACTCAGGGGGAAAGCTTGAGGCTCTATCTCAAAAAAAAAAAAATTTAAAACATGTATGTCGGCCTGGAGAAGGGGTGGCTCATGCCTGTGATCCTAACACTCTGGGAGTTTGAGACCAGCATCAGGAAGGGTGGAACTACTCTTACTAAAGGAATAGAAAAACTGGCTTGGCACCCATAGCACAGTAGTTATGGCACCAGCCACATACACCCACGCTGACGAGTTTGAACCTGGCCTGGGCCAGCTAAACAACAGTGACAACTGCAACCAAAAATAGCTGGGTGTTGTGGCAGGCGCCAGTGGTCCCCGCTACTTGGGAGGCTGAGGCAAGAGAATCACTTAGGCCCAAGAGTTTGAGGTTGCTGTGAGCTGTGACGCTATGGCACTCTACCCAGAGTGACAGCTTGAGGCTCTGTCTCAAAAAAAAAAAAAAAAAAAAATTGATGTATCAATGTATCATATGAATGGAATAAAGGGCATGAGTGATTATCTCAATAGACGTAGAAAGACCAATTGACAAAATTCATCACTGTGTTGATGACACTCAGCAAAGTAGAGGTAGAAGGAACTTCTTCAGCCTGAAAGCCCACAGTATATCATCATACTTAATGGTTAAAGAGTTTAAGATGTAGATCATTTGGGCTTCATCAAAATTTAAAACATGGGCTCAGCGCCTGTGGCTCAAATGGCTGGGGTACCAGCCATATGCACCTAAGGTGCAGGTTCAAATCCAGCCCGGACCCTCCAAAACAACAATGACAGCTGCAACCACAAAATGGCTGGGCGTTGTGGCAGGCGCCTGTGGTCCCAGCTACTTGGGAGGCTGAGGCAGGAGACTCGCTTGAGCCCAGGAGTTGGAGGTTGCTGTG